GCTACTTTTTGGTGGCAGCCATCATTGTTGTTTTGGCAGGCCCGGGCTAGATTCGAACCCACCACCTTCGGTGTATGTGGCTGGTGCCTTAGTCACTTGAGCCACAGGCGCCAAGCCTTTTGATCCATTTTGAATAAATTGTGTAAGGTAAACTACACTGTGTAGGTAAACTACATTGGGTGAGATAAAAGTCTAATTTCATTTTTTTGGTGCTTTTTTTTGTTTTTGTTTTTTTTTTTTTGCAGTTTTTGACCGGGGCTGGGTTTGAACCCACCACCTCCAGCATAATAGGCTGGCATCCCACTCCTTTGAACCACAGGCGCCGCCCATTTTTTTGGTCTTTTATTTTCTTAGGCATATAGCTTATCATTTGGGTCCTTGAATGAAAGGAAGTGGTAGACCCTGAAGAATGGGCTGTCCAGATTCCAGCTAGAAGAAAAGTGTTGAGAACATCAGTGCATAGTACCCAGGTAGCCGGGGTATTCCTTCCTGAAGGCTACCCCTTGATGGCTGTCAGTCAGCCCATCCCAGCCATGTTCATGAAGGGTGGCTACTGTGTTCTGAAGAGGTGTAGGAATTCACTCCTAGTGAAAAGTAAGCTGCTTCTCTTGTGGGCTGATCTCACAGTGGCAGGTTCTGTGCTAAGTCCCAAGGAGCAGAGGAGTGGCCGTTGTTAGACTCAACCTTTGCTGTGAGCCAAGCTTGGCCCATGGCATATAGTCTGTGGTTTTCTTTTTCAGTCACCTATGACTTTCTGGCTGTGGAAGACATAAACAGGGACAGGATCCGAGATGTTTTGTTTCTTTATAAACATACCAACAGCAGCAGTAATTTCAGCCGATCCTGTGCTGATGAAGGTAATTTTGATTTTATCCAAAAAAGGAAGAACTCTCTATAGGAAGAATCTTTGTTTTGGGTTATCCTCTCACTTTAGCAGTGTTTGGGGGAAGCAAATGGTAGCACTTCAGGAAACTATGACATTCTTCTTTCTTTTTAGCAGATCTAGAAAGAGGCAAAGAGGCTGGCTCAGAGCCTGTGGCCGGGAGTGAGGTGTGGGGAAGCCAGGATTAGCAGGGCACAGGATGTGGCCAGCCCAACCACCCAGCGTCTTTCCCCTCCAGGCTTATCCTCTCCCTGCACCTTTGTGGCAGTCGTGTCAGGGGCCAACGGCAGCATGCTGTGGGAGAGGCCTGTGGCCTCAGATGTGGCCCTTGTGAAGTGTGCTGTGTCCCAGCCAAGGAGCAGCGAGGTGTCATCTGCCTGCATCCTCGTGGGCAGGCCCCATTCTGTCATTGCAGTCGACTTATTCTCAGGTAGGCCAGCCAGGTTGGGGGACTTGCACCTCCTCACCCAGGAGGGCCAATGCCAGGATACTCTGATAAGGGTCAACCCTCCAGCATGGCTGACTGGATAAGAAACCGCCAAGTGAAGGTGCAACCACTTGGGAGTCTCAAGCCTCAGCTCCCTCAGCTGCTCTGACGTGTTGTACCATTGTCACCTCTGGTTTACATTTTGCTTGTGGATGCACAGCAGAGTCAGTCAGACCTCACCCACTGTGGGGTAGAGGTGGGGAGGAGGGCAGTGTGCTGGTAGTGCCCATGGTGAGCCCAGGGCCTGACCATTCACTTGGCCCCCAGGGAAGATCTGGATCTGGTGCTATTCTTACCCTTGAGGGCACATGTTTCGTAACCCTAATGTAACAGGTAATGGGAAGCACCAAGGGAGGGAACACAGAGTGGGGAAGGAGTTGGTTGGATGGCCCCTGCACCTTACCAGATCTGAAGGGACTAGTCTGCTGGATTTGGTGGATATTATCATTTCCCTTACAAGGTATAGTTTGAAGGATATGGAAGAAAATAAAGAGCAGGCTGGAAATATTTTAAGATTGAGGAATTAGTCTAAAAAAGGAGTTTGGATGAGGTCTGTCTGGGTAAGAAACTGTAACAGGCCAGGTGCAGTGACTCACATCTATAATCCCAGCACTTTGGGAAGAGGATGGCTTGAGACTAGGAGTTTAAGATCAGTCTGGTCAACATAGTGAGACCCTATCTCTACAAAAAAGAAAAAAAAAAGAAACTGGATGTTGTGGTGGGCACCTGTAGGCCCAGCTACTTGAGAGGTAAGATAGGAGGATGGCTTGAGCCCAGGAGTATGAGGTTACAGTTAGCTGTGATCATACCACTGCATTCTAGCCTGGGGAATAGAGTGAGACTCTGTCTCAAAAAAAAAAAAATGTTATTACCTCAGGGCCTGTGGTCAGTAGATCTGCCTCCGAGCACACACCTTCGTTTGCTGCCTTCCATGTACAGGGCAAAGAGAGTGGCCACTCAGCTGGGTCCCTCAGGGAACCAGAGGGTATACCTGTGACCTCAAGAGGTGACAGGTTCTGATGGGCCTCAAGAGGTGGTCACAATCTGATCCTGTCCACTGCAGGGGAGAGCACTGATTTTAGGCGTTCTAGAATGGTACTTGCTTAGTGCCAACTGTTAGGGAAAAGACACAGAAAGGGAGGAAAGAGCTCTGCAGTTCCCAGAAAAAGCACTTTATTAACATTGTGGTGTGTATCTGTCCAGACATTTTTCATGTGGGCATGGTGCATATTCTACCACACTGTCCCTGCTATTCCTTTACAAGGATGGTCGTATGTACCTTTGCCCTCCCACAGCAAGCATTTCCATTTCTGAGTGTGCACGAGCCTTAGGTTATGTGGACGGATGCCTCAGCGGCAGTGTGCTGCAGAGGCAATTCTGTCATCAAGCTGCTGTAAAGAGGCATTGGGAGCTGTTTGGTGACAGTGTGTTTGATTTTAGGGAAAACCCTGTGGACCCATCCCAGCAGTCTGGGCAGGAATGCTTCAATCCTGAGCCCTTTACTCCAGTTGCCCGATGTTGATGGTGATGGGACCCCAGACCTGCTGCTTCTGGTCCGGGAGGAAGAGGAGGTACAGACCCCGCTGTATTGTCTCGGCCTCGAAGCTCTCATTTCTATCAACGTCTTCTTTGCCTCCTTGTCCACTTCTACTTTCCATACAGAATTTGTGTCTGACCCCCTTCCCAGCACCCTTCTCTTTTGGAGCCTTTGTCTGTCTCCAAGCATGATAGCACATATATGGTGCCATCACAGCACCAGACCTGGAGCCCCTCCTAGGCCAAGCACTCATCTCACACTCTCATAGCAGAGCAGGTTTTCCTCAAACTCCCCTTTCCCTTTAGCACCACTCATTTCAAAATGCCCCTCCCTCTTGAGCATTTGGGTCTATCTCATTTTCTGTTGCCCCCTGTCATTGCAGGTTAATGGTTATATCTACTCAGGCACCACTGGGCATCAGATCGGCCACAGAGGCAGCCTTGGAATAGACGGGGAAAGTGGCTTCCTCCTCCATGTCACCAGGACGGGTGCCCACTACATCCTCTTCCCCTGTGGTATGTTGTGCTGCCACGCCTCTGGGACTGGCCATCCCACTCAGAGGCAGTGCTGGTCATAAATGATTAGCCAACACCCTTGGAGACATAACATATGCGGGGATTGTGACTGCCCTGGAGGCCACTCCTGCTCTCATTCTAGACATACTGCTCAATCCTGACAGGCCAGAAAGCCTAAAGGCCTGGCACCATGTGTTCCTGGAAATGGGACTGGTGGATGACCTTGGTGACTTCGACCTCTTCTATGTTTTGAATAGCAAGCTCCCTCTGTGGCTGCTCTGTGAAAGGTCTCTATGAGAAGGTGACCAGGAGAGACGGCCCATTTAAGAAAGACCCCCTGTGGGAGAACATGCTCAACGCCACCACCTGCAGGAGGCTTGTGCACAGGTTGGTCTGGGAGGCAGCTTTCTACGCACACAGGTGTCTGCCCCTTGGCCTGGCTCACAGGCCTCAGTGCACAGAGGGCATGGGAGCCCAGTGCAACTGGCTGGCTAAGTGGTGCCAGGGCTTAGTGCTGTTAGTGCCATGAGGCAACCTTGGGCTTAGACACCAGAAACTGGCAGACAAAAGCTGAGTGGAGACTGAGAAGCAAAGTTCCCGATGGTGTGTTTGCCTTGTTTCTACAGGAAGTAAAGGTCTTGTTTTGTATTTTCATGCTGGAGAATTGAGAAATACGGGGGTGTGGGAGCCTAAGAGAAGCAGCCCTGGGACAAGCAGTGCTGAGGGACTGCCCTCCCCCCTGCTCGTGGGGACTCTGCCCTTCCCTCCCATCTCCTGTTTAGCGCTGGAGCAGTGCGTCATCTGGTACACATCCCAGGCAAGGCTGGTGCAGATGTGCTCCTTGTGGGCGCAGAGGCCTGTGTGCTACTGGACGGGCAGGCGCTGACTCCCCGCTGGACCCTCAACAGAGCCCAGGTCCTGAGGTAGGAGTCTTCTACCCCTCCCCTGGATGCCCCAGGGACAAGGGGCACAGGGTGTGCTAGAGGGCCTGTGTGCTGCCACCAAGCCTCTCACCTGCCGTGAGTGCTATCTGCATTAGCAGAGGAGTCATGAAGCCCTATCTCAGACATCATTGCCTCATGCTGGCCCCCTGCAAGCTGCGCTGCCCCCACCCAGGTGTGACTATAGAAGGCTAAGGGGTATAGGTACCCAAGTGTTGTACAGGTCCCCAAGTGTTGTCTTACACAGAGGCCCTTTCTGAGCTATTCTCTATTCTTCCAGAAAACCCATCTTTGGCCACTACAAACCAGATGCCTTGGCTGTGGTCATTGAAAATGGAACCGGCATTCACAGACAGGTTTGCTCAACTTTCTTCTGAGGTCCCTCATTTGTTCTTAGCTGGGGTGATCTGGCCTGAGGGCAGTTGCCTTAAAGCCAGGAGACTCATGTGCCTGTGTAGGCCCTTACCCACCCCAAAGACATTCTCCTCCCTTGCCAGATCCTGCTCCTAGACCTCAGCAGTGGGGCCATCCTGTGGAGCCAGGCCCTCCCAAGCCTCCCTGGGGCCCCTGGGTCTGCCAGTCTGCCAACTGCAGACCACCGCTCAGCTTTCTTCTTCTGGGGCTTCCACGAACTGGACAGCACCAATGAGACGGTACTGGGCCCCCTTGGAGCAGCCTGTGCCAGGAATTGGGCCTGAGGCACCAGGCTTGGGTCCCCCAATCAGTTACCAGATAAATTGAAGTCAAGTGAGAGTCTGTAATGATGAAGTGGTGCCAAAGGACACATCCTGAGGTATCATTTTGAGGGTGACGCATTAGCAGCCCTATGTGAGGAGGGGAGCACAATGGTGGAGGTCAGGGTCAGCTTGGGGGAGGCTAGAGGCTGGTTCAGAGGTCTAGGCATAGCCACTGTGGCCACAGCACCCTATGGCAGTGACTTGAGCACTGCCTGGTGCTTGCCTACGGCCCAGCAGTGAAAACTTTCAATGCTGTCACTCCAGGAGACTGGAGCCACGTGGCACAGCCTATACATGCTCCACCCCACCCTGCCCAATGTGCTGCTGGAGCTGGCCAACATCTCTGCCAACATTGTCACCTTTGAGGGTGAGTTTGGTCTTGGGCAAGGGCTGGAGGTCTCACCACCATGAGTTCCTGTGGTGACCCTAACCTCTGTGTCCCCTGCAGCGGTCCTATTTGAGCCAAGCCGCCATGCTGCCTACGTCCTCCTGACAGGCCCCACAACCTCAGATGTGCCTGGCCTGGTCTCTCTGATCAAGCACAGAGTGCGGGACCTGGTCCCAAGCAGCAGGGTGGTACACCTGAGTGAAGCAGGGCCAGACAGCGACCAGGCTGTTAGGGACCGGTTCTCCCGGCTGCGCTACCGGAGCGAGGCATAAAATGGGCGCCAGCCAGAGCCTATGGGGGAAGACTCCACCTGCTGATGCTAGACGCTGGCCTCCCTGGACTCCTTATTGACGGTCCCACCCCCGTGTGTGGGTGATGGATGCCTAAGTGTCTCCTGCTGCCCGGCATACCATGTCCTTCACACTGTGCCCCATTGGGGTCCTGCTCATGGCCAGACTGCCTTTGTGGTTCCCTCCCTGGGCTATATTGGGCAAGGCTTGGCCCCATAGCACCCCATCCTCATACCACGCCCTTACCTCACCAGCCTCTCCCCAGGCCAGAGAGGCCAGGATTGTGGTAGGGCACAGGGCATCCCTAAGGACATGCTGCTCACACTTCTTGCAGAAGTCCCTTCCCCATTCCTGTTTGATTCTTCTGTGCACTGTCCCCCAGAAATCATGGAACTCAGGGGGCCTGAGGGTGGCCTAAGGATAGCAGCTGGGACCTGAGGAGGAAACCCTCTGGCATGGTGGAGAAACTTGGGCCCTTTGACCCAGCCCTATGAGGGGTGGGCTCCAGTGCAGGAGTCTCCAACCTGACAGGGGCAATCCCACACTGGACTGTGTCACAAGGCCCGCTCTGGAGCTTTGCTCCCTGTATGCTGTGATTCCTGTACATAGGTCACTACACATGGGGCTGCTCATCCCTCCAGAGGCCCCTGTGCCCTGGGCATGGGAAGTGCCTCTTGTCTCCCCTCTCCCCAGGTGCTCTCATCCCCAGTGTCACCTGGTCCAGGACTCACCTCTGTGCCTTGCTGCTCCTGAGGCCAAGGGCAGCTGTAGGCCCTGCCCAAACACAGAGCCCAAGCTCTGGAGCCAAAGCAACCAGATGACCACAGTCACCATGGAAGAAACCACAATAAACACTTTTGCACTGTCTGAAAAAGCCCAGTGGTCAGGTGTGAGCTGGTGTCCATCCACCTGTCTCTCCCAAAAGAGTGAATTGGATTTGTTCCTGGCATGGTGACCAGGAATGTGCTGGCCAGGCTCCTTATCAGGGTGAGGACGGCCAAGGAGGCGAGTACTACCACCCAGACCTGCCCACTCAGAAGCTGGGGCTCAGCAGACTTCAGTGCAGCCTCCAAGGGGCGTTCGTGGTTTGAGGGCCCCTGTGCTACACACAAGGCATCCAACTCCACAAAAGCCAGTGTGCTGCTACCTGAGACAGACAGCAGGTAGTCCTAGCACCTCTGCATCCTTATCCTCTGTGGGCCAGCCCAGGGCCAGCACAGTCAAGTGGGGTGGTGGGAAGAGCCCAGTCAGGGGCTTCCATGAAATACAGCTTGGGGAGAGGAAATGACTGCAGGTCAAGTGCTTTGCAGAGGTGTCTAGCCTGTAGTCCACAGCTCACGTGCTGATTTTTTGAGGACTTTTTTTGCTTATCTATGGTGTCAAATATCACAAAAAGTGTACACAGACCTTTCATTTTGCTCATCAGCTTTTATTCGTGTTTGTATATTTAACGCGTGGCCCAAGACGGCTCTGATGTTTCCAGCAAAAAAAAAGAAAAAAACAAGGTTGGACACTGCTCTAGAGACCTCTGCAGGGGTTCTCTGCAGGTGTTGAAATATGAAAATCTGTGTCATAGCTGCACAGGCAAACCTTGTACCTGTTTCTCCCTGCCAAGGCTCAGGAGGGGAATTTGAACAGATGGGAGCCCTTGGGCATGAAGGGGCTCCCCTAAGTAAAAATCAAGAAGCCAGGGGGGTGGCTCAGCACCTGTAACCCAGTGGTTAGGGTGCTGGACATATACACCAGGGCTGGTGGGTTCAAACCCGGCCCAAGCCTGCCAAACAACAGTGACAACTGCAACAAAACGTAGGCATGTGTTGTGGCGGGCAGCTGTAGTCTCAGCTACTTGGGAGGCTGAGACAACAGACTCACTTAAGCTCAAGAGATTGAGGTTGCTGTGAGTTGTGACACCATGGCACTCTACCCAGGGCAACATAATGAGACTTTGTCTCAAACAAAAAAAGCCAGGGGGGCAGGGCAGGGCTCAGGGGAGAGGGCAAGGTATGCCACTAGGGTTGTAAGTCTGTCCCCTGCATAGGAAGGATTACAGGAGGTCCTCGAAGTGAGAAGGGTTGCCCTACAGGTCACAGGAGCAGCTGTACCCCTGGTGGCCTCTGAAGGGTGAGCAATGCAGTGGGCCCTGGCCTGTATAGCCAGAGTTAAGGGCCTGGGCCAAAGGGGTATCCCTCTACACCCCTTGAACTTTTTTTTT